AGGGAAATACTTTTATCAGCTTGGCACACGCTTTCAAATTATACCAGCATACCCTATTGTTATAAGAAGAACTGCACATGTGTCTCCTGTCTAGCTTTTCAAAATGATACACTAGTCTTCCTCTCTGATTCCTCTCATATTCCTTTGGTAAAAACTGTTACTGTTTCAGTCTGTCCCATTTTTGAGTCAAATTTCTCATTTTTTTTAATATCTAAAATTTCTTATCAGGCCTAGTTTATATGCTAGTTCTCTGTAGGTTCTCAAAGTAAAACCAGTTTATATAACAAGTTTCTGTGACCAGATAGGCAACCCTTGAAAACACAAAGGGCAGGGTTTGAAATCTTCTTTGAAGCGTTAAGCAATTGCAAAAATGGCACATTATGAACATTTGTTCTGAAATTTTCATTTGATGCCATAGGTTGATTACATATTTTATCTTCTTGTTTTCTTCTCAAATCATGTACTTAACAATGGGCATGAAATTTTCTGGCTTAGTCATCAATCGTTGTCACTCTGAATACCTTCATTTTCCACTCTTGAAAATAATTCTGAAATCTTTTGACTGCAAGTAAAAATTTTTCTTCCTGAAACTAGTTTCTCAGTCCATAATATCAAAATATATTCAAATACTTTCAAAGTGGTATAGTAAGGGAGGATTGAACCCAAAGATGCTTTACCACTGAGCTACATCCCCAGCCCTTTTTATTTTTTCTTTGTTTATTTATTTTTTGGTGGTGCTGGGGATTGAACCCAGAGCCTTGTGCATGGGAGGCAAGCATTCTACCAACTAAGCTGTATACCCAGCCCCAACCCTTTTTATTTTGAGACAGGGACTCACTAAATTGATGAGGCTGGCTTTGAACTTGCAATCCTCTTGCCTCAGCCTCCCAAATTACTGGGATTACAGGTCTGTACCACCATACTGTATGCCTCACCTAAGTTTTCCTAAATGATCAGTTACGTGTGATTCCAAGTTTCAAAGATTATTTAAATGTCCTAGATTTGCAACCAGTTGTTTTAAACCCATTTTTAGTGTGAAAATATACTCTTACTTGAAGGTTCCCATTAGTATAATAAATAGAATACTAAATACTCACCTGGAATCACTCTCTTGAGCACTATTTTGTTGCCTGCCTGGAGTGGGAGACAGAGTGCCTGCAATATCCTTGTAAATTTTCATTCTTCTTGGTAATTTTATTTTATGTTTTCAGTACTGGGTTCTCTACCACTAAGCTGTATCCCAGTCCTTTTTAGTTTTGCTTTTTTGGTTGTTGTTGTTTTAAAGAGGGGGGAAGGAGAGAGAGAGAGAGAGAGAGAGAGAGAGAGAGAGAGAGAGAGAGAGAGAGAGAGAATTTTAATATTTATTTTTAGTTTTCGGTGGACACAACATCTTTGTTTGTATGTGGCGCTGAGGATCCAACCCGGGCCGCACGCATGCCAGGCGAGCGCACTACCGCTTGAGCCACATCCCCAGCCCTCCTTTTTAGTTTTTGATGTTGTTGTTTGTTTATTTTTCAGTGCTGGGGATTGAACCAGGGCCTCCATATTTGGGAAAGTACTTTACCACTGAGCCACATCTTCAGCCCTTTTTTAGTTTTTGTTTTGAGAGAGTCTGGCAAACTTGTCTCAAAATTGCAATTTTCCTGCCTCAGCCTCCTTAGTATCTGGAATTCCAGGCTCTTCTTTGTAATTTTAAACAATGCAACAAAGAACTGTTCAAGTCTGAAAAGTTAAGTGAACTTTTTCTCAGACTCCCATTTACATTTATCATCCAGTTAAGAACATATCTATGGCAGGAAGATAGCAAGTTCAAAGCCAGCCTCATCAATTTAGTTAGACTCTGTCTCAAAACAAAAAAAATCAAAAGGGTCAGAATATAGCTCAGTGGTATAGCATCCCAGTACTCAAAAAAAAAAAAAAAAAAAAAAAGCATGAGCATGTCTTGGCCACAGCATTAAAGAGCACTTAAGAAGCTGAATGATTATATTTTGCATATGGCTTACCAGAAGCTGAGATGAACAACACTGATGAGGAGATTGACCTATAAAGGCCAAGCATTCCACAGAAGAAACAAAACCATTTAAGGTATTAGAACTGGGGGAGGGGAGTGTTTAAAAATTCATTATTTCAACAAATAAATTCATTCTTTCAACAAATAAATGCCTCTTATCCTATATGCCCTGAGATTGATAACTTGGGGTGATAGAGGAAGTGCCTCCTTGAATACAAACCCAAACAAATCAAGATTTTAAAGGAGATTTCATATTACCTCTCAACAACAAAAAAGACATGAACTTAAAAAAATGAATTATTGATACTAGTAACATGTATGAATCTCAAAAGTAATTATGCTGAATGAAAAAAAAAACAACAAACCAACAAAAAGGAGTACATATTTATAAGAATCTAGAAAGTACAAACTAATTTATAATGGCAGGGAGCAAATCAGAGGTTGACCAAAGGTAGAAAAGCTGGGGAGGAATTGCAGAGGGACATAAATAAACTTTTATTTTGATTTTTTATTATTATTATTTTTTGTTACCAGGGATTGAAACTATGGGTGCTTTACCATTAAGTTACATTCCCAGTCATTTTTATTTTTTATTTTGAGACAGGTTCTTGCTAAGTTGCAAAGGGTCTCTTTAAGTTGTCAACCCTGGCCTCGAATTGCAATCCTCTTGCCTCAGCTTCAACCAGTTGCTGGGATTACAGGCATGTGCCACCACATCCAGCACAAGGAAACTTTGAGAGCGATGAATATGTTCACTATCTTGAGTAGTGATGGGTTCACTGGCGTATAATTATAGCAAAATTTATTTAATTGTACACTTTAAATATCATTTGCCAAAAAACCTCAAGAAAGCTTAAAAATATGTTCTGGAAAATAGGAAGGAGAAAGACAGAAAGAAAAGTGGGGAAGAGAGATAAAATTCTATGGCCTCTCTCAGAATTCTTTCTTGCTCAAGGACACAAGATGGTGTCTGATTGTAAGATTTTTTTTTCACAGTACTTCGCTGCATTTTTAACTGCCAGGATGGTCTATAAGCCTCAACTTTAGTCTTATGCTAGCCCATAAAATCCCTCATGCTGGTTCTATCTCCTCTTGGACCTGAAATGCAGTTTATACTTCTTGTCTGCCTCCATTTGCTGGGATGTTTCTTCCATTCTAAATGATCCAAATTTTTTCTCTCCTTTCAGGCCTAGCAAAACTAAGATTTATTTCACAGTCTTTCCTATCTGTTTCTGCAGAAAAAAATTCTGTATTCTCTTCAAGTTTCTCTAGTATTTATAATCTAAACTGCTCTTTTGACACCTATTTGCTGCCTTGTATTATTTTCTTTTCATGTGCATCTTCTCAACAAGACTATGAACTTCTTCAGAGCAGAGACTAAGTCATATATATATATATATATATTTTTTGTCTCTGCCAAGGCACTTAATAATAAGTGCTTAATAAGTGTCAATTTAAAACATCTCACTTTTGTAGTCTTTCCAATGCACTTTCTAGCCATTATCTCATTTGATCATTACATCAACACTTATGAGATTGGAGAAACTAGAAATGTTATTTCCTCCTTTTGACAGATAAGGAAACCTGAAGCCCCAAGGTCACACAGCTTGTTAGAGAGAGACAGGGAATAGACAATTGAGAGAAAGGTCTGATCCAATTCAAAGTTTCCCACCACTGTCTTCTGCATCCTGCCACCTGAAGACAAGACTTCTGCATGCTTTGCCTCCTCATTCCCCAAGTACTTCAGAGCTACTTAGCCAAAGCTTTGTAGTCCATATTTGAGAACTCGACAAATTTGGGAGATGAAATTTCAGTAGGTTTCTGATCAGTCACCAAAGCATGCTTGCTATTTTGTTCCAAGTGCTGTTTGTTAGGGACATTATGCCTGATATTTAATGATGCTGCACTACAGAATTGAAGAAGCATAAATGATTTTTAAAAGCTTTAGAAAATGACAGCACTCTAGTATTAAACATCAAAGGAGGCAGCTGAGAAGCTGACCAAGGATATGAAATTTCTGCACTGGACCACATCATTCCTCCATTATGTATACTGGTAGAATTTTCTAGCTGGTACTATAGGAAAAGGTGAAACATTCCATTTCTCAGCACACCTTGCCCGAGAGGTCACCCAGCTTCTTCTCTAATGCAAGAGTTAATAACCCTGGTGTGGTTTACACACACACTCACACACACACACATACATTTTTTTTTCCTCTTTTTTTTTTTTCCCTAGTGCTGGAGATTGAACCTGGGGCCTCACGCTGGGCAAGCACTTCATCACTGATCTACACTCCCAGCCCATTATTTTATTTTTTAGAATTCATCTCCTAACTAGATTAGATTCCAGTCAACTTTGCAAAAAGGGTGCAGGTGGGAGTGGAGGCTGGGTTTAAGACAGAGGTAAATGAAGAATGAGAGATAAAGCAGAGGGCAAAGGAGCCTGAGAAAGGAGAGCAGACCCAAAGTGCAGAGAGTTGTGCCAGGCAAGAGGTGAGCCAAGCCCCAGGCGGGGCTACCCGCAGGATGAGGGATGGAGGCAGGTCTAGGAAGGTTCAGCAGACCATTGTGGTAGGTTTAGGTTTCTGGGCTGCTACCTTGACTTTAACCTCTCCGCGCCTTAGTTTTCCCCTCTGTAGAATGGGTATGATGGTAACTTCCCAGTAGGAAGCTGTAAGAACTAAATGAAGCAAGACGAGGGAAGTAAACGTTTGACACAGCGCCTGACTCATCGTAGGCCCTCAATAATGTGAGTTATGAATACCATTTTCCCAACATTTGTCCGTAAACTGGGAAAGGTACCAAGAAGGCACAAAACGACCTTCCTGAGAGCGCTCTTCCGCAGACAGTTCCACAACCCGAGTTCGCGGCCGTTAGAAACCAAGGACTCGCGCCAGGAGGGGGGCGGGACCTGTCGTTCCCGCCTTGAGTTGGCCCCGCCCCCCTCCCTGCGGCCTCTCGTGCACTTTGGGCTCCAGCCCTTGACCCGGCCTTCCCGCGCGGTCCTCCCGGACCTAGCTTCCCCCCGGTTCTGCGCGGGGCCCGAGTGAGAAGTTCCGGAGCCCCGCTGGCTGGGTGTCGACGCGGTCCGCCAGCCCGCCCAGCCCCCCTCGGCACTGCCTCGGGAGCTACAGCTTCCCCAGAGTGTGCAGGTTTGCTTTCGAGGGGTGGCGGGCTGCGCTGCGGGAGAGGAGCGCTCAGAGGGTCAATCCGGCCAGCCCTCGGTCTCCGGCCGCGGAGGCCGCCCTCGCCCTTGGGAATCCTTGGTCTCCCAGACAGAAGGAGAGTCGGCGCCGGGGAGCCCGTACTGCATTTTGATTCATCTTGGGCCTTGTAAGGGTCACATCTTGTGAAAATACCTGTAAAATCAATTTAACGTTCAGTGCAGCGTGTAAAGACAGCTCTAAGAATTTAAAAGACGCCTGAGTCAGAACATTTAAATGCTTGGGTCCCAGTAGCAGCGTTTTAACACGTCTAAGTGCAGAGGGTGGAGAAGCGAGCCTGATTGCCGCCACCGTTCACGCCCTGTAACATTTTTAAAGGGTAAAGAAAAATACCCATAAAAAAACCTCTAGGGAGGGAACAGCTGACTTGTTGAAATTTGGATTGGTCCTCATTTCCATGTGCGAAATTTGCCTGCAAAACTTTTTATTTGCTGGCTTAGATTAACAATAAACCGAATTGTTAAAAATACTGAGCTTAACTAAATAGTGGTTTTTGTTGACAAGTCGATGGTGTTATTAATTCTTAAAAGTCTCATCCAAGGCACGAGTCGTTATCACAGTTTTGCAGGTGGAAAAAAAGTTTGGCATAAAAAAAGCATTTCCCTTAAATTCACACAGAAGCAACAGTGGAGCTGTAGATTAAGTACTAGCATTCTAGAAGCCTTCTTAGCTGCGGCCCCCAGTAGACTACGTTACAAAACAAATGAGCAGTTACTTTGATGTTACTCATAAAAGGAGCGAGTAAACCAAATGTTCTGTGAACATGAAGTGTTAAATCATAATGACCTTCAATGTCTGTTTTGCTTTGGGAGACTCAGCTGCCCTTTGGAGTTTGATACCTCACCAAGAGTAGAAGGTGGAGCAAAAACATAACATGGAAAATAATGTCAAGGGAAGAATTTTTGTCTTCCGAGTCCAAACAGTGCTCATCTTTACTGCCCCTCTAAGGTCATTCTTTTCAGTGTGTTCCATTATTCTGGCAAAACAGCGGGAGCTCAGGACCCAATCTTGCTGCATTAACTATACCTTTGCCTCACTCTGTCTGCACTGACCTGTCAGTCTTCCTGTCATGCTCTTTCCTCCAGGTGCTCTTTACTAATGCTGTTTTGTGAAAACCAGTTGTTGTGCAACTGTGCAACTGTGGAATGATCTGTCATTCCTGAAGGATGATTCTAGAATTTAATGATCAAAAACTACCAACAGTTCTTCAATGAATGGACACACACACACACACACACACACACATATACAATTATTGTGGAATTTGGTAGCTGAGTTATTTGGGGGGAAAAAAAACAGACTTTTGATTATTTTCTCCTCTTTCCCCAGTTCACTCATAACTGGAAAGCAGTAGCTCTTTTTTAACTTCAACATAATAATGGTGCTGGTGTGGGATCCTCCTGATTAGACCTTGGTGAATTGGAAAGTTTCTTTTTTAGAAACAAGCTCCTCCTTTTTAGAAAGCTTGGAACAAGTGGAGACATTTATGTGCTTGGAATGCCAAACATTTTGGCACTTGTAAGTCTGTCCATGAAACTGTGTAAGAGCTTGGAACCCTGGATTTGTGATATAGCCCCTCTCTGTAAGTAGCATCCCTGAGGTTCCTTTCCAGCTTGTGGATAAAAGAAACTCAATGCCAAGGTAGTTTAATCTGGAGCAGCCAGCTATTTATTCATCTTTTGTTTTCTTTCATTTGGTTCCACACAGATAAAAATCCCAAGAAAATTAAATGGCATCTGGAGATTTCTGTTCCCCTGGACAAGGGAAGGAAATACTTCAACAAGGTAAGGGTAGATATTTGCAAAAGGTTTGCTGACTTACCCAGAGAGGTTTTATTCAGGTTCTTACCTTCTTTAATAAAGAGGATTTTTTTTTTTTTTTTGGTATCAGGGATTGAACCCAGGGGAGCTTAACCACTGAGCAACATCCCCAGCCCTTTTTAATATTTTATTTAGAGACGAGGTCTTGCTGATTTGCTAAATACCTTGCTAATCTGCTGAGGCTGGCTTTGAACTGGAGATCCTCCTGCCTCAGCCTCCTTAGTTGCTGGGATTACAGACGAGCACCACTTTGCCGGCTAATAAAAGGGATTTGTAATGTCTTATCAGTTTGTTTTCTATTACAAAAGTCTAAGCTTCTGGGAAAACTAGGATACATGGGAATTCTTGAACAGTCTCTTAATGGAAACAGATTACCCTAACTCCTGTTAAGTGTTGGTGTACTATCTGCTTGTGCAGTAGCAAGCATATTTTAAAGATAAGGGTGGCTAGCTAATTCTTTGAAGGCTTCCTTCTTACCTGTATCTTGAATTTTCTTATATATATATATATTTTTTTTGAATTGGGGATTAAACCCAGGGACACTTAACCACTGAGCCACATCCTTAGCCCTTTTTTATATTTTATTTAGAGACAGGGTCTCATTGAGTTGCTTAGGGCCTAGCTAAATTGCTGAGGCTGGCTTTTGAACTCATGATCCTCCTGCCTCAGCTTCCCGAGCCACTGGGATTACAGGCGTGTGCCACCACTCCCAACGAATTTTTTTCTTAATATATATTTTTTTAGGTTGGCACAATGTCTTTATTTTATATTTATGTGGTGCTGAGGATTGAACCCAGTGCCTCATGCATGCTAGGTTAACACTCTACCACAGAGTCACAACCCCAGACTCACTCCCAAGGAATTTTCTCACATCTTATTCTTTAAAATCTCAGCTCCTGCTGGGGCAATGACACATACCTGTAATCCCAGTGACTCAGGAAGCTGAAGCAGGAGGATTGCAAGTTCAAAGCCAGCCTCAGCAATTCAGTGAGGCCCTGAGAAAATTGATGAGATACTGCCTTAAATAAAAAATAAAAAGGGATGGGGATATAGCTCAGTAGTAAAGCACTCCTGGGTTCAATCTCTAGTGTCCCCATCACACACAGAAAGTCTCAGCTCCTTCTGTATCTTGAGTTCTTTCCATATCTTGAATCTTGTATTTCTTAAATTCTCCAAGAACTTGAATTTCCTATATTTTTACTATTTCCATATTGAATCCTTCAATATTTTAGAGGAGGAAGGGATGGGGGAAGAGGGAGAGAGGGGGAGAGGAAGAAGGGAAAGAGATACTAAGATTCAAACTTATTATTCTCTAAAAGAACCTTAGGTATGATGGTCCAAAGAATGAAAGTGTTTGGTAAGTAGATGTAGAAGATTCCAGCAGAGAGCACCCAGAAAAGAGATGGAAAAAAAGCTCTGACTATATGGAATAACTAGAGAATCCTAATTTCCTTCACTTTTTCTCATGCTTGTGCTCTTCTGTGTCTACATGCATTATTACTCAGTTCTACTTAAAATAATTAGAATTTGTTAATTTTTTTACATACTATAAAGGTATATCTTTTCTTAGGCTTGCTTATATGACTAGAAATCACAGTCAAGTTGGAATTTTAGAATGTATGTTTTTCTCTTTTGTTCAAGAACTCTAGTAATTCTGAATGAATTTGGGGTACTGGGTGATCTCTATTAAAATGTATTGTGTTTTTTAAGGTTTTTTTGTTATTTTTTGTGGTGCTAAGGATTGAACCCAGTGCCTCACATATGCTGGACACATGTTCTGCCACTGAGCTACATCCCAGCCCCTAAAATTTCTTTTACTGTTATTATTATTTTTGTGGTGCTGAGGATTGAACCCAGGGCCTTGTGCATGCAAGGCAAGCACTCTACCAAGTGAATTATATCCCCAGCCCAACCTTCTTTTTTTTATGAGACAGGGTTTCACCAAGTTGCTGAGGCTGGCCTAGAACTTGTGATCCTCCTGCCTTAGCCTCCTGAGCTGCTGGTATTACAGGCTTGTGCCACCATGCCACACTTGTTGATTCTTTTTGTCCCATCTTTACCAAATGCATTTTCATTTTCTTCCCTCTCTTCCTGCCTTTCTTTTTGTGTGTTTGGGATCTGGGGATCAAACTCAGGGCCTCATGCATACTAAGCATGTACTCTACCACTGAGCTATATCCCTAGCCTGCGAATTTCCATTATCTAAGTCCTTAACTTTATTGGGTACTCATTTCCCTTTGAAATGAGTTTTATCCACAGGCATAGTGGCGTATGCCTGTGATCCCAGTGACTCAGGAACCTGAAGCAAAAGGATGAGAAGTTCAAGGACAGCCTCAACAACTTAGCAATACGATACCCTGTCTTAAAATAAAAAATAAGGGCTAGGGGTGTAGCTCAGGAGTAAAATGCCCCTGGGTTCATTCCCCAGTACCACCAAAAAAAAAAAAAAAAAAGAAAGAAAGAAATGAGTTTCATTTTACATCTTTGGATATAAAATAAATATTACTTTGAGTATTATTTCTAGTTTCTAATTTGTTAGTTTTTCCTTTTAAATCCATGAGATTTAGAAACTTTTCTAACCAAAAACCGAGGTGTTTTGGAAGTATTATGTTCAGTTATATAAACTAAGCATCCTTACCTTTTTACTTTTTTTGTCCCTGTGCCTTAAGTGTGTAGCAAGCAGTTTCCTCCTTGTAACCTGAGGGAAGAGGACCTGTTACAGAACCCCTACTTCAGTAAGCTGCTGCTGAGTCTCTCACAGCATATGGATGAGAGTGGCTTAAGTCTCCTCCTGGCAAAGGAGCAGGCTCAGGTAAGGGCCCTGAGAGAAGGGATGACTGGAGGAAGGGAAAGTTCTTTCAAGAGAGTGGTTTCTATCTGGGATATTTTTGGTTTTCTAGGCATGGAAGGAAATTCGACTGCATAAGACAACATGGTTGAGGTCTGAGATTTTACAGAGAGTCATTCAAGAACTGCTTGTGGACTACTATGTGAAGACACAAGACACAAATTTAACATCTGAGGACAAAAAGGTGAGGCCAAAGAGATGAGATAAGGTGTGTTACCAACTATAGAAATGACCAGGCCAAATGTGGCTTGCTTTGATGATGTGATCTAGGGCAAAGAAGAGCTTTGAGGAATGGGTTATTAAAAACAAAATGGGTTGTCACTCTTGAGATAGCTCACAGTCTTCCTTGAATGTGTATCCACTTTCTAAAAACACCTGTCTCTACCTTAAAAAAGAAAAACAAAAATGGACTGTAGTTATTGGGGAAAAGAGTGTGTTATCAAGGTTTTGAAATGGATTGACAGAAGGCATTTGCAGCTGAAGGGGATGACAGCTGAAGAGAACTCTGAAAGTATGAGAACTGGTTCATGGGGATGGAACAGATGGAGTAGGAGATGTTTTATAGTCACCTCTTTTTGCTTTCTATTCTCTCTTTCTCAGTTTCATGAGACCCTTGAACAGCGGCTCCTTGTGACTGAACTGACACACCTCTTAGGTCCTAGCCAGGAGAAGGAGATACCTCCATTGCTAGGGCTGGAGAAGGCGGACCTTCTGGAGCTCATGCCACCCTCAGAGGTTGGGAGGAAAGAATACTGGGAACAAAGAAGCAAAGTGTTTTATTTTCCCCATATCTTTAAGATTTTTTGTTAAGCTTAATTGTTTTTGCCAAAATGATACGTATCTATGGTGGGCAAACTCAAAGAATAAGAAAAACATTACATAGAAGCAAATAAAAGATGGAATACTACATCTGAAAACATACTATTATTATAAAAGCTTGATATAAATAATATTATACCTTCTGTGCATACATAGATAGTATAATCTGTTTTGGTGTAATACATTGTGGATTTTTTTTCAAATCAAGAAATAGAATGAGGCTCCCAGAGACTTGGGAGGCTGAGGCAGGAGGATCGCAAGTTCAAAGCCAGCCTCAGTAATTAGTGATCCTCCTTTAGTGAGAACCTACCTCAAAATAAAAATAATAAAAGGTTGGGGATGTGGCTCAATGGTTGAACACCCCTGAGTTCAATTCCCATCATCAAATAAATAAATAAATAAATAGGATGATACATACCTGCGATAGCACTCTTAGCATAGTGTCTAGGCACATAGTGCTATGTTCTTTTTTTAAAAAAAGATTTCTTTTTTTTTAGTTGTAGATGAATATAATACCTTTACCGTTATTTATTTATTTTTATGTGGTGCTGAGGATTGAACCCAGTGCCTCACATATGCCAGGTGAGTGCTCTACCACTGAGCCATAATCCCAACCCTAGTGCTATGTTTGTTTGTTTGTTTTTAGTTATAGACATGCACAATATTTTTATTTTGTTTATTTATTTTTACGTAGTGCTGAGGATCAAACCCAGTGCCTCACATGTGCAAGGCAAGTGCTCTGCTATTGAGCCACAACCCCAGCCCATATGTTCTCTTTTTTGTGGTGCTGGGGGTTGAACCCAGGGCCTTGTGCATGCAAGGCAAGCACTCTACCAACTGAGCTGTATCCCCAACCCCCATATGTTCTTATACCATTAGTTTAAATCACTGCTAGGACTCCATTATATGGATATACCATAATTTGTTTAACCTTATTGATGGGTATTAAGGTTATTTCCATATTTTTGCTGTTAGAAATTATAGTGAGATGAACATGCTAGTTAATGTGTCTTTGCCTTTGTATATATTTTATTTCCCTAACATTTGTGCTGAAAGTGGTATCACTAGATCAGAACATACATACATACACAGAACACATTGGTACATACTGCCACACTATTCTTCAGAAAGGTGTTTCTAGTATTCCTAGTTCCCATATTTTCACCAACAATGGGAAAAAAATATATATATATATATATTAGTTTTAGGTGGACACAGTATCTTTATTGTATTTTTATGAGGTGCTGAGGATTGAACCCAATGCCTCACGCAAGCCAGGCGAGCGCGTGCCATATCCCTATACCCCCAACATCGGATCTTGACGGTCTTTTTACTTGTTTCTTTTTTTAATGATGCTGGGGATTAAATCTAGGGCCTTGTGTATGTTAGACAAGTTCTCACTGAGCTACAACCCATTCCCTCCTTTTACTGATTTGATAAACTAAAAATGAGTCTCCCTGATGTTTCTTTAAAATTTTTTTTTTAAATTTTGAGATAGGATCTTGTTAATTTGCATAGGATGAACTTAAATTTGTGATTGTTCTACATCCTAAGTAGCTGGGATTACAGGTGTGCTCCGCCACAACTCACTTCTCTGATGGCTCTTGACATGTTTTCTGTGGTTAATATTAAGGTTGTATCATCACATATTCATTGGTGATATTCCCTAGTTCTAACAGTCTGTTTGCACCACCTCTTGCTTTGGTGGTTATAGGATTTTGTGCAGATGAAAGCTCGTCTCCAGCTGGAAGTGGAGGAACAGCTCAAGAGGAAATGTTTCACTCTACTCTGCTACCATGACCCCAACTCAGGTGAGTGCTGGTCCTCTGTTCTGCTCACAACTAGCCTTCAGGGTTCATGGTCTACTGTTTTTTGAGAATAATGTATTTTAAGTATCAGAGATACCTATGTGTTTGTTTCTGGTGGAATAAAAATAAATGTTTTTGTAAGGACTCCTTTGATTTAGCAAGGTGACAAGTGGAAGTGTTCTCCTGCTGCAGGAAGAGATGAGTTCTCTCCTCAGGAGGATCACAAAGGCAAAGGGAGGAGAGGTCAGGCCTATAGGTGTTCTCTTATCTTTTCCCCCCCGCTGTGTGGCTTAAGAATTCAGGGCCAGTGTAAAACTGTGGTACACACCTGTAACCCAGAGATTTGGGTGTTTGAGGCTGGAGGATTGCAAATTTGGAGCCAGCCGGGGCAACTTAGTGAGACCCTGTCTCAAAATAAAAAATATAAAGGGCTGGGGATGTAGCTCAGTGGTAGAGCGTCCCTGGGTTCAGTCCCTAGTTACACACAAACATACACACACACACACACACACACACACACACCAGGAATCCAAAGTAAGAGTGAAGAGAACCTGACTATGAGAACCAGGCATCAGAAGAAAACCCGGGAAGTCGGACTTCAGAGCTAGATGTAGTACAGGGACATCGAATAAAGCCTTACAGAGGACAGTAGCAATTAGAATTTCACCAGCTCTTTATCTCTTTGCCCAGATGCTGACAGTGAAACCCTGAAGGCAGCAAAGGTGTGGAAACTGGCAGAGGTCCTAGTGGGTGAGAAGCAGCAGTGCCAGGATGCTAAGAACCAGCAGAAGGAGCAGCTGGTACTGTTGGAGAAAAAGAGTGCCACCTACTCTCAGGTGTGTGGAGGCAATGTGACAGTCTCCTCTTTCCTTTACTCTGACCCCACAGCACATTTAGGCAAGTCAAGGATTTGATTTGCCCTCCTTTCTACTCTCTGTTCTTACACCTCTTCTGCTTACTCTTGGGGGATCAGGTACTTCTCCGCTGCCTCGCTTTGCTTCAGAGGCTTCTTCAAGAGCACCGACTGAAGACTCAGTCTGAGCTAGACCGCATCAATGCCCAGTACCTGGAAATCAAGTGCAGTGCCATGATCCTTAAGCTGAGGTAAGCTGTGAGTCTTGTGGATCTAAGGGATACTGTCTTATACCCCACTCCTCCATCTCTCATCCTTATCTCTTTTTTTTATCATGCCTAACATTTTGTGGATATCCAATAAATGCTGCACAGCAGCATTAGCCTTTGGAGTACCCAAAAGCTTTTTAATATTCTTGAGTCTTTTATTTTACAGACTTATGAAATAGGTGCATTACTGTAAGATCAGTTGCTCAAGGATTCAGAGTAACCTTGTTTATCCCATCATTGTTTAGCCTGCATCTTGACTGTGGGTAGGCACTGTGTTCATTCTTAACTCTGATCCTGTCAGGGATCTTCCACATGACATTTCTTTCTTTCCTCTGTCAGGATGGAGGAGCTAAAGATTTTGTCTGACACTTACACTGCTGAGAAAGTGGAAGTTCATCGTCTCATTAGGTGAGAACTCCCAGGAATCTGTATAGTTATCCACAGCTTGTTCCCACTCCCTCCTGACTTGTTCATTTTAGCATGTTCCTTTTCTTGTCTACTTTCTGAGGACAAGCATCCTTATATTGAACCTTCTTTTCCTGGGCTCTTAGGGACCGTTTAGAGGGAGCCATTCACCTACAAGAGCAGGACATGGAGAAATCTCGACAGGTTCTGAATACCTATGAGGTCCTTGGGGAGGAGTTTGACAGGCTGGTAAAAGAGTACACCCAGCTCAAGCAGGCAACTGAGAACAAGCGCTGGGCCCTCCAGGAATTCAACAAGGCCTACCACTGAGTGTCTGCAGAGCCAGGAAGCATGATTTACGCACACCACTGCTGCCTCCTATTTCTGCTGAAGGGACCACCTCCACCTGGGGCTTCCTTCACTATAAGGGGGTAGGGGGCACTTGCTGAAAACACTGCAGTCCTTTAGGCACCCTCCTGATTTATTTCCCTTGTTTACAATGACTGGGTCTTTTTTGGAAAATGTAGCAAGCAGATTTATATAATTTTATGCATAGCTGTTTGTCAGTGTCAGTCCTGTGTTGTGTTTGATTATTTCATGAATAAAATGATGATGTTATATCTTAGGATTTTAGTCATTTTCCCTGAGTAAAGATGGAAAAAGAACATCAAAGTCTGTGTGGAGGGCTGGGGATATGGCTCAGTTGGTAGAGTGCTTGCCTAACATGCACAAGGCCCAGGGTTCAAACACCAGTACCACAAATAAAAAAATAAATTCATAATTATCATAAATAATCAAGAAACCAATTTAAAAAAAAAGACTGTGTGGATAAGGAGGAAGAACTGAGGAAATCCAAATAGAGCCAGATCTATAATGCTTATACAAATAGGAGGTAGAAGTGCCAGCCTGCCCTCATTGAGTCTTAGAGGCTTCATTCTGGATAAGCAGAAGTGGATTAAATCTGGGCTTGCTCTTGATGAACAATAATCTTCAGAGGAGTGCTAGGTGCTGAGATAGATAGGAAACAATTCTGTCACTGTGGCTAACGGTAGGGAAGTTACTATAAAGCAGTCAGGCATTCAACTCAGTTATAGAAGGACACAAGCCACTTGTGCTCCTGGTTCTTTCTGGTTGTGGTTTGAGGGCCATATGTCTCTCCAAAAGCAGGGGTGGGAAGAGATTACCCTGAGGAACCAAGTTCTACCTTACAGCAAGGTAGATGGGTTTGACTGGCATTGAAATGAGGGAATGGGAACAAAAGCAAAAGGCCTCTAACCTTCTGAATTAAAGAACCTACTTAGCTTCCCCACCAATTTTTGGGGAGACTGGTTCAGGCATTCTTCTATTGAGGTGAAATGATGGTCTGCCTTGGCGTGGGAAAAATTAAGGTCTTGAAGTCAACTTACATATTTCTATAAATGGTGTTTACCACTATATTTTTTATATACAAATTTTGATCCCCACAAAAAATGAACAAATAGATAATGAAAAAAACTTAGAGTCAATATTGCTTAATTTTATAATGTCCCCCCCAACTTTTTGGGGGGGAAGTTTTTGAACCTATAGAAAAGTTGAAAGAATAGAAGGATGAGTACCAGTGAACTTTTTCTTTTTGGTACTGGGAATTGAACTCGGAAGCACTACCACTGAGCTACCTCCCCAGCCTTTTTGATTTCTTTTTATGTTGAGACAAAATCTCACTAAGTTGCTAAGGCTGGCCTTGAATTTGCAATCCTCCTACCTCAGCCTCCTGTGTCACTGGGATTACAGGTGTGTACTACTGTGTCTGGCTACCAGTGAATTTTTTTTTAATATTTATTTTTTAGTTATAGGTGGACAGAATATCTTTATTTTATATTTATGTGGTGCTGAGGATCGAACCCAGTGTCTCATGCATGCTAGGTGAGTGCTTTACCTCTGAGCCACAGCCCCAGCCCCTTTTATTATTTTTTTTAATTAAAAAAATTATTTTTTGCAAGAGAATTAAAACCAGTGGTACTTTTATCACCAAGCTACATCCTAACCTTTCTGATTTTGAGACAGGGTCTCATTAACTTGCCCAGGCTGGCCTTGAACTTGTGATCCTTTCATCTCGGCCTTCCAGGTCGCTGGGATTATACTACACCCAACTGACAGTGTACCTCTTTTTTTTTTGTTTTTTTTTTTTGGTACTGGGGATTGAACTCAGGGGCAGTCAACCACTGAGCCACATTCCCAGCCCTATTTTGTATTGTATTTAGAGACAGGGTCTCACTGAGTTGCTTAGTACCTCGCTGTTGCTGAGGCTGGCTTTGAACTCCCGATCCTCCTGTCTCATCCTCCTGAGCCACTGGGATTACAGGCGTGCACCACTGTGCCCAGCAATGTACTCTTAATCTATATTTAGCAATTGCCAGTATTTTGCTTTTCTCCCTCCTTTCCTTCTTATCTCCCTTCTCCCTTTCTCTCTATAAAATTCATTTATCTGGGCTGGGGATGTGGCTCAAGCGGTAGCGCGCTCGCCTGGCACGCGTGCGGCCCGGGTTCGATCCTCAGCACCACATACAAACAAAGATGTTGTGTCCGCTGAGAACTAAAAAATAAATATTAAAAAATTCTCTCTCTCTCTCTCTCTCCCACTCTCTCTTAAAAAAATAAATAAATAAAGATTTTAAAAAAAATTCATTTATCAGGTAGGTGTGATAACACAAACCTATAATCCTAGCTGTTTGGGAGGATGAGGTAGGAGGCTTGTGGTCAGCCTGGGCAATTTAGTAAGATCCTATTTCTTTTTTTTTTTTTTTTTTCTAGATCAGACGTATGTGCATTTTATTTTTTTCCCTACATTTTTTATTGTTGCATTATAATTGTACATAATGGTGGGACTTGTTGTTACATATTTGTACATGAATACAACATAATATAATTTAGCCAATATCATTCCCTAGTATTTTCCCTTTCCCTTCCCTACTCCCTAAACCTAGTCACTTTCCTGTATTCTACTGATCTCCCTTAAATTTTCATGAGATTTTTCCCCCAACTTTTCTTTACCTTTTTCCTTTCTAGCTTCCACATATGAGAGAAAACATACAGTCTTTAACCTTTTGAGTTTGGCTTATTTTGTTTAACATAATGTTCTCAAGTTCCATCCATTTTCCTGCAAATGACATGATTTCATTTTTATTTATGGCTGAATAAAATTCCATTTGGTCTGTATACCACATTTTCTTTATCCATTCATCCAGTGATGGACACCTAGGCTGGTTCCACAGTTTAGCTGTTGTGAATTGTGCTGCTATAAATGTGAGTATGCATGTATCACTGTAGTATGATGACTTTATAATTTTTTTAAATTGACACCTTTATTTTGTTTATTTTTTATGTGGTTCTGAGGATTGGACCCAGTGCCTCACACATGCTAGGCAAACATGCTACCACTGAGCCACAACCCCCAAAATTCTGATTTTATTGGTATGAGATACAACCTTGCAGTAGGATTTCTTTTTTGTGTGTGTATGTGGTGCTGGGGATTGAACCCATGGTCTTGTGCATGCAAGGTAAACACTTTACCGACTGAGCTATATCCCCAGCCCAACTTTATAATTTTTTTAGGATAAATACTGAGGCGTGGTATAGCTGGGTCATATGGTGAGAACCTATTTCAAAATATAAGAAATTTTAAAAATGGCTTGGGGTTGGGCTGGGGATGTGGTTTAGTGGTAGAGTGCTTGCCTGGCATGCATGAGTCCCTTGGTGTGACTCCCTAGTAACACACATATAATGATGATGATAATAAAAATAACTTAATTAAAATGAAATAAAATTAAATTTCTAGTAGGTTGGTTGGTACTTTATTGACAGTGAAGATATAGGACATTTACATCATTGCAGAAAGTTCTATTGGACAGCTGGGCATGGTGATGCACATATATAATCCCAGTTACTCAGGAGGAGGAGGCAGGAGGATCACAAGTTCAAGGACAGCCTAAGTAACTTAACAAGACTCTGATTCAAAAACAAAACAAAATAGGGGCTGGGGTAGTGGCTCAGTGGTAGAGTGCTTGCCTGGCATGCTAGCATGTGTGAGATACTGGGTTTGATTCTTAGCACTGCATATAAATAAATGAACAAAATAAAGACCTATCAATGTCACACACACACACACACACACACACACACACACACTATACACTCCCAAAAAGAAAAAAGTAGAAAGATTTGGGGATGTGACTCATTGGTAGAATGTCCTTGAGTTCAATCCCCAGTACTGTGAAAAAAATATTTTTTGTATGGGACAGAGATATAAGCCTGTATTTCCTAAAAATTAGAGTTAGGTCTTTAGGCTTGATTAGATTTGGATAAAAGATCTTTGCAAAAAGTACTTAACAGATGCTATTACATACTTCACATCACTGAAGCCACATCAGGCCAAAATATGTCACTATTAATTATGCTGAGTTTGATTGCTTGGTTAGGTGGTAATTGCCAGATTACTACTAATGGGATCTCTTTAATTTATAAAGGTATGTTTTCTCTTGGTTGTAGCATCTAGAAATGAAATTTGAAAATCTCAAAATAGATCTTCCTGGGCTGGGGATGTGGCTCAAGCAGTAGCGCGCTCACCTGGCATGCGTGCGGCCCAGGTTCGATCCTCAGCACCACATACAAACAAAGATGTTGTGTCCACCGAAAACTAAAAAAATAAATATTAAAATTCAAAATAGATCTTCCTGATATTTATTATGACATTCATTTAATTAGGTGCTTGTCCTGAAGCAAACTAGGTTTTGGCATTTGGAATAATAATAATGACAATAACAACAACAATAAAGAAATGGGCCTTGTCTTCAATTTTATAACCTATAGACAATAGCAGACACACAAAAACAGTCCAAGAATATAAAGTAACAGGAAGTAGAGCTAAACGTGTTGTGAACAAAGAGAAGCGAATCGGGAATTATAAGGTAGAACCTTGGTATGAAAAGCAGATTTGGTTCAAGCTTTATAGAAGCAAGTATGGGATGGAATTTTGGAAAAAGCAACAAAGACAAAGAGGAAGGAGTGGTATGTGAAAAGGCACAGAATTAGGAATTGGTAAATTATGTACCAAAGAAAGACCTTCCTTCCTTCCTTCCTTCCTCCCTCCCTCCCTCCCAGGGATACTTTACAATTGAGTTATATCACCAGCCCTTTATATTTTTTATTTTGAAACAAGGTCTTGCTAAATTGCCCAGTTTGGCCTTGAACTTGCTGAGGCTGGCCTTGAACCAAGTTACTGGGATTATAGGCATGCGCCACCCCACCTGTAAAAATTTCATTTAAAGTGTTAATGTGACAGAAATTTAAGTAAGATCTTTTATAGTTTCAATTGAGACATGAGAGCTGGGGTTTAAGCGTGTTTAGATTTCCAACTGGATGAGAAAACAAAATGGTTTACAAGTAGTGATTCCCACTCTATCTCCCTAAAACAGCATGGAGATGGACAGTGAGCTATTTTTAATATATTTTTGTTTTGTTTTGTTTTTGGCACTGGAGATTGAACTCAGGGACACTCTACCACTGAGCCACATCCCCAGTCCTATTTTTTATTTTACTTAGGGACAGGATCTCACCGAGTTGCTTAGTACCCCGCCATTGCTGAGGCTG